CCATTCTTGCCTTTGACTCTCAGCAATGATTTCTCCTAGGTGGGCCTGATGCCCCATAGTGGACTCTTCCTCACTAGCAGAAGATAAGAGACTTTCAGTGAACACTCAGCGGCCACTCTTTAGAAGGCTCATAGCTGTGCATCACTTTTCTTAGATTTCTCACACTTTCTGACAGCATCACAAAGATGCTTTGAAGGCCTTCTGAGACCCTACTGGGCAAAGTGAATTCTTTCCGAAACACTGGTTTTAGGAATTAGTTTCCAGGGTAAGAATGAAAAAGGCTGCAGAGCCATGCTAATACGGGCAATGGGTGGCAGATTTGTGCCTTCCGTCCCTTCTTGTTTCCTCTACTAGTATCTGGATTCCACTTTTGGAAATCCCTTGAAAAGCTGACTCCCTGAAGCAGAATAGCAGGAGGCATTTTACCTGGAGTGTGGATGGGCCAGTGCGACCCATCCCTTCCTTCAAGGAGAAAACATGTTTCCATATATGTAGGGCTTTCAAGTTGTCCCTCTTACTTGCACACTTGGCTGTGTAGGTTTGGACTTCGGGGTCAGACGTGTAAACAAGAGGATAGAAGCAAAAAGATCTCCAAGAAGTTGTAGTTGGAAGTGGGGCCCCAGATGGCCAGGAAATATGGATGGGGCACAGAGAGGAAGCCTGAAGCAATGTTATTTGGAGGACACAAAAAAGGGTCTGCATTTCTATTTTGAAAATGGTTGAAAATGGTTCTTTCCTGCCAGGCTTTTTCCTGTGTCCTCTTTTGAAAGAATAATTTGTGAAGATTTTGTAATTAAAATATTGAAAAGGAAAAAAAAAACCCTAAAATGACATCTGTGTATTCATGCCACTTTTTTCATGAAAAGAAACTAGAAACACAATAAAATTTATTTCAGTAAATTTTCATCTGAATATCAATATATTGCCCCAGTTTTATTCTACGCAGATGGGTTATCCGGATACGATTATGGCTTGAGATTCTTTGAAGAGTCAAAGACAGTCATTATTTATGGGATATTTTTAAAAAAATGAACAAAACTCAGAATATGTAAATTATGAATCCAGGTTACCTGTATAGTAGTTAGTAACCAGACCTTTGATTCTTACAAAGTTTAAAACTCATATATTTAAATATCGTCAGTGAATGCCACGTCCTCACTAGGACCCTGCCCTGTCTGAAGGCTCCCCACCCTGAACACCCTGGAACATGTCACCCAGCTCCCCACAAGCACATGACTGGCTCTTCCATCCATGGGAAGAGTTTCCCATGTTACCTTGCCCACTGAAGATGGTCAGGAAGAGCCTTTGTCTTCTCCTTTTTGTTTTCTTCAAAATATTCATGAAAGCTTTCTTTTATTTAATTGCCTCCTTTTTGTTTTCTTCAAAATATTCATGAAAGCTTTCTTTTATTTGATTGCTTTGTTGAACACCAGACTCTGCCTGCCCCGCCCAATCACACACCTGCCAGGCTTTGTCACACGACACTCACTAAACAAGTCAGTACTTGGTGATGGTAGGTAAATGTTCTTAAGCAGAGCTACCAGATACAAAACTTGGGACTGGGGAGATGGTTCAGCAGTGAAGAGCCCTGGCCTGTCTTTTGAGGACCTCAGTTCGATTCCCAGCACCCACATGGTGGTTCATAACAATCCCTAATTCCAGTTCCATGGGGATCTGATGCCCTCTTCTGACCTCCATGGGCATCAGGCATACACATGTTGCACAGACAAACATGCAAGCAACATATAATACAGAATGAATACATCTAATAAAAAAAGGAAGCAAAACTCACTTGGCCTGTTGCTGATAAGGTCACTTATAGACAAAGTATGGGGCTCTCTCAGCAAGCTGCTTTTGCCAGTGGTCAGGGATGCTGGTGTGCAAAAGCAGATGATTCTTTGCATTCCTAGCTATTAACATACATGGCACATGCTCTCCAAGTTATTGGCGAGGTCCCATGAGCCAGCCTAGGGATGAGCTTGCAGCTGTGACTTTTTGACTCTAGGGGTGGAGGGTAGAGTGTGGGTCATATATGGTGTTTTTAATATTAGAAAAACAGGCAGTTTGGAGTTTTTCCCTGGGAAAAACACACGAACAAACAAACCTGGCATGACCTTTTACTGGTAGACATCCAGGAAACCCAGAAGGCGTCATCTCTGCAGGGCCATGTTTGAGGCTCAAGGAAACAGGGCTCTGTGTTCTATGGGAGGCAGACAAGTAAAGAACTGTAATACCAAGAGACAAGGGCTGCCACAGAAGCCTTTATGGAAGATTCAGCATGTGTCTCCTTCAAAAAGGATTTGGTGACCTCTTCTGGGGATGAGACCTCCAGCTGAAATGAGACAAGGTAGTGCAGAGGAGAAGCCAAGTTTTGTGAAGGAAACAAGGGCGACTTGACAAAGGGTGGGGGAACTTAGAATGAGAATAGCTGGAAAACACATCATCAAAGCTGAAGAGTGGAGGAAGCCAAGGGTGTTGGGATAGACAGGGAAGCCTTGCCCCGTGGTTCCATTGGCTCTGGGGATTTGGACAGATCACTTCAACTTTCAAGAGTTTACTCTAAGGAAGCAATCAGATAACTGAGAACAAGTGTCTATTCCTACTTTGGTGGGAGAATGGGACAGCAAAGCACAGGGATTGGTGGCTTTGCAGTCTGTTCAGAATATGATAGGGACATTGTGAATGATGATATGGCTTTCTTTATACTGTGATGGGACGACAGTTGAGAGAATTGACCAGTGAAGGACCAAGCCACACAATGCCATTAAGATGTAATTATCTTGGGAGCAGGAGATATGGCCCAGGGGTCACCAGAACGTCTTGCTTTTGTAGAGGACTGGGGTTTGGTTCCAAGTACCCATGTGGCAGCTTACAACCATCTACAATTCCAGTTCCGGGAGGATCTGATGCCTTTTTCTTTTCTCAGTAAGCATGCATGTGTTCCATATACATACATACACTCTTATATACATACACATTCAGCTAACTCTGTCTGTCTGTCTGTCTGTCTGTCTGTCTGTCTGTCTGTCTATCATCTATCTATCTATCTTTTATCCATCCATCCATCTATCCATCATCTACCCATCTGTCTATTCATTCATCTATCCATCCATCCATCCATCTATCCATCATCTACCCATCTGTCTATTCATTCATCCATCATCTATCTATCTATCTATCTATCTATCTATCTATCCATCTATCTATCTAATCTATCATCTATCTATTGGCTTAATTAGGCTGGCACACAGTTCAGTAGTAGAGCACTTGCATGTCCAAGGCCCCGAGTTCCATCCCTAGCATTTCATGAACCACCAGCAAAAGGCCATATAAAGTCTAGAAGTCAATGTTAAATGTTCACAGTAATGAAATTGAGAATGGTTAGCTTTTTTCCCTTTTAAAATGTGTTTATTTTGCAAGTTTTCTTTTTTAAGTTCTTTATTTTTTATGTATTTGAATTACAAACAAGATTGAATTACATGATGATCCCAGTTCCCTTCTCCCTCCCTTCCTCCTCTACCACCCCACCAACTAAAATCCTACCTATCATATGTCCTTTCTTCTAATCTACACCTGACTCAAAATTTCTGCTTCCTTATGAAACCTCTGCATCCTTATATGCTTATATGCTTAGGAGTGGAATTGCTGGATCTTGTGGTAGACTCATTCCCATTTTCTTGAGGAGTCGCCATACTGATTTCTAAAGTGGCTGTACAAGTTGGCACTCCCACCAGCAGTGGAGGAGTGTTCCTCTTTCTGCACATCCTCTCTATTTTAAACTGTTTTTAGTGTTTTTGATTTTAGCCATTCTGACAGGAGTAAGATGGTATCTCAGAGTTGTTTTGATTTGCATTTCCCTGATGGCCAAGGATGTTCAACATTTTCCTATGTGTCTTTCAGCCAGTTTAGATTCCTCTATTGAGAATTGTCTATTTAGTTCTGTACCCCATTTTTATTAATTGTTGATCTCAGTGTCTGTGCTACTGGTGTTATGTTCAGGAAGTGGTCTCCTGTACGGATTAATTCAAGGGTATTTCCCACTTTATCTTCTAATAGGTTCAGTGTGGCTGGGTTTATGTTGAGATCTTTGATCCATTTTGACTTAAGTTTTGTGCAGGGCGAAAGGCCTGGGTCTATCTGTAGTCTTCTACATGTTTGCATCCAGTTATGCCAGCAGAGAATGGTTAGCTTTTACTTTACACTTTAATGTAGTCCACCCTGCCTCACAGTGAGTAGGCTTTAAAGTTACAACCAGAAAAATTAGTAAATCTATTTCCACTTTGAAAGGAAAAGTCCACAGAGTTTAAAAAGAGATAATTAGGGGCAGAATTATAATTGAGTGACTGTTAAGAAATGTGTGTTACTCATTCTGAACCTTCCAGGCAGACCATCCCAGTAGAGCAAGCTTGCCTCTACCAGGGGAGGTGAATACTCCCTGTCATTTATGTGGAGGTGTGTGTGTGTGTGTGTGTGTGTGTGTGTGTGTGTGTGTGAGAGAGAGAGAGAGAGAGAGAGAGAGAGACAGAGAGACAGAGAGAGAGAGAGAGACTCTCTTTATATGTTCTAGAGTAGCATGAAAAGAATAGACACCTTCCCATAGTCCCTGAGCCAGCCCTTCTCCGTATGGGCTACATTCTAGATTCACCAGAGGAGCCAAAGTAATTCTACTGCCCAGCCCCTAAACTTTCAGACCAACAAGTTCTGAGTCTCTGGGATGAGCCCAGGTCCAGGAGATGCTCTTCTGCAGTAGGGGTTGAGTACCATCTGGTTAGAAGAGAGTGAATTAAACACTAACCAGACAGCAGCACACCCATGGGCCTGTTCTTTCAGGACATGGCAGAGCTGAACATTTATCTTTATTTACAAAAAGGATTTCTTTGTCAAGTACTGTACCCCTCTCTAGAAAAATCTCAAAGTGTATTAGCCAGTAAAGGCTTTGGGAAGTCTTACAGCAAGGGGATTTGGTTTGTTTCAACTTTTTTTTCTTGTTTCCCCAGTAGTTTCTCGTCTTGGAAACCTTTATCTTAGGTAGTCGCTCTTTCACCTCACTTGGCAGTGTGAGAGCAAGCCCTGGATTATTCTGCTAGCCTGTGGACACTTCTCTGTAAGGATCCTAGGACACTGGTAAGACCAAAGCAGACCTCACGTAGCAGAGGAGCCCCAGTTCTGGAGACTTGTGGGAGGCTCATCCCTTCTCGGGCACACTGACCTGGGACCCAGGGTGTGGGGAGGCGCACTCTGGTGTAGACAGGAGAGTGAGGTCCAAAGGAATTATTGACAGCTTTGTCCCAAATCAGAAACTAGGCAGGGACACAGAAGGCACTAAATTCCAGACTTTCCCTCTCTTACTCAGACCCCTCCACCTCCTCCAACCTAATCAAAGAGGTCACCGAAGGCATTTTACAATCTTTGCGTAAAGGAGCACGGTAGTGATTAATGGCAAGTTCCTGCCTTCTTACACCATTTTGCATTTCTGTCTCCGTCTAACGCTCTAAATATCTTTCAGTTGTAAGGAATGTTTAGAATTGAAGAGCCGAGCCGGTTTGACACAATTAAAAGCTTCCAGAAGGCTATTATGGTGCCAATTATTTACTTTGCGATAGCAGGCTATTTAAATTTCATTACGGAGTAGAGAATAGGGAGATAAGAACAAAATATGGCCAGGCTGGTTATGACCTCAGAACCTTTGCTCCTTTTGTTCATAAAAGATACCAGAGGCAGGACATACAGATACAAGGACCATTTGGTTAAACTGTGCCTTCCCTTAAAGGAAAGTGCTTCTTAATCTCCTCATGGGCTGCTAATGGGCCATTTATCAGGATGATGCGGAGGAAGGAGGGCTACCAACTTGGGAGGACCACCCTGTATCACAGGTTGTCACACAATGACCCAGTGACTCCTGGCTTTGACTTAAATATCCCCAGGCCCCAGAGGAAATAAACGAATGTTCACTCTGCCCTTTCTAGGTCCCCTTCTAAATATTATCACTTTGATTGTTAAAACTCTCCCTTGTGGTTCCCAGTCCTCATTCAAGCTGTTACCTATTGTGACTTAATTATAACGTTTCCAGGGTTGCAACTTCTCAGTTGATCCCTCGTGTAGGAGGCAGGTAGTGGGAGTGGCAGTATGGAGGACCTGGTTCACATGCTTGCAGATGTATGTATATGCATTGCACACAAACACACACACACACACACACATACACACACACACACGCGTGCGCGCGCACGCACAGGCATAATTAACACAGTAGAGTTGATTCTTTAAGTTTCTAATTTTGTTTTGAGATAAAGCCAAAATCAAGATAGAGGATCCTTTTATTGCCCAGAAACATTCCCTCATCCCTCTTTGTTGTGGATTCCTTCTTTTTTCCCTAGGACAGGAGTTAGTTCCCCGAAGGGAGGAAAATCAGGGCCCATGTTGGATCACAGGCTATCCAGGTAGCACACATGACCCCATCCCTGAATGGACAAGTAACTGGTTGGGTTGATGGAGTGCACATAAAGTATGCATAGCTAGAGATGTGCTAAAATAATGACCAATCCCAAAATAGTCTCTAACCAGTCTTCACCACTAGATGCATAAAAGGCCACTGGGTGGTGTTGCACAATGCTATTTCTCCCATAGTCTATCTCAGTCTCGGGAGTTCTTTGTCATTTTTCCTTAGTTAATTTGCTCCATCTACACTTATCTGAATTTCCTTGTTCTTGGGCACTTCTGTTACCAGGGGACTAGCTCCATTGCTTCCCCACAGCCAATTAAGAACTTCCTAACAGCAATTCTTGAACTATCCAGGAACAAAATGGGCCACACCTCATCGAGTTCACTGGATCCAACTTGAGTGGTTTGAACTGACACTCCGGCCAGAGCTTCGGGTACTGACTTCAGTCAATACAAGGACTTCAATCAAGATAAGGACTTCAACCTAGGCCCTCAATCAAGCATCTCCTACAAAACACAGACTGGACTCAAGACTTTTACTACTCTAACATTTTCTTCCTACAGGACCCCACGAGGCTAATGTCATCCCATTTCAGCAGGAAGTAAATTGGAGAATACTACACCCCCTTTCCCCGTTGTAGACACCGAGTTAGGGCTAGTTTCCTATTGTTTAAGGTTGAGTTTAGAAGGAGGTGTTCAAGCTTGGACATCTATTTCAGATGACTTTAAGGCTTAGCTGGAATAGATATAGTTAAGATGTGATATTAGTAGATTATTATAACTTCTTGTAATTCACCTTTATGATTGTTAATTATAGATAACTTACACTGTTAAGTTTTACTCCTCTTTTAGACTAAAAGGGGAATTGTAGGGGGAAATGCTGATCACACCAGTTTGAGGGCTGGCACAGGTGATGTCCACACCCACTTGGGAGTGGTCAGAGTGACAGAGCTATGTAGCAAGGCTTTAAATACCAGGGATGCACGAATTCGGCTATTCCCCCCCCCCACCTGGACGTGACTATTATAACCCAAAAGTCCTGGCCTCAGAGATTGGAACTCTCTCTAGAGTACGCCAGAGTGTTATGCGATAATGAACTCATTGCCATTAGTTCAGGGTGGCTCAGCTCCCTGAGCTCCCTGAGTTAAGCTCATTAAGAGTCAAGAAAGGGACGCTGGATTATTTGTAATAGCCAGAAACTGGAAGCAGCCTAGATGCCCCTCTACTGAAGAATGGATAAAGAAAATGTGGTACATTTACACAATGGAGTACTACTCAGCGGAAAAAAACCAAAAAAAAAAAAAAAAACCAAAGAAACAATGGAATCTTGAAATTTGCAGGAAAATGGATGGAAATAGAAGAAACCATTCTGAGCGAGGTAACCCAATCACAAAAAGACAAACATGATATGTACTCACTCATATGTGGATTTTTAGACATAGGGTAAAGGATTACCAGTTTACAATCCACACTGCCAGAGAAACTAGTAAACAAGGAGGACCCTAAAAGAGACAAACATTGTTCCCTGGAGAAGGGGAAAGGGTCACGATCCCCTGAGCAAATTGATAGCACGGGAAGAGGGGGGAGGGAGCTATGAGAATGAGGAGGGAAGAAGAGGAAGGATGCAGAGGTCATGAGGGAGCAGAGAGGTTGAGTCAGGTGAAGAATAGAAGAAAGGAGAGGAAGGGAGGGAGAAGGGAACTGGGATTGTCTTGTAAATCAATCTTGTTTCTAAATCAAATAAAAAAATGATAAAAAAAGAAAGGGAAGCTGGAGAGATGGCTTAGTGGCTAAGAGCACTGCTGGTCTTTGCAGAATCTACCATGATTCCCAGCACCCACAATGCCAAGAAAGGCTCTGCTGCTCTGAAAGAACACATATCAACCTTGTGAATAGAAGTGCCCAGAAAAAGAAGCCACACCTGTGTTAAAGAGTCCACACAGCTGTTTGATTAAAGTTCTGTGGTTGTAGAGAGATGGGATGTTATAAGATTCAGAGCCAAATTATCTCAGGCTCTCTTTAGTCCACAGTTTGTTCTTTGGACCTTCAGGGTGTTTTTTTTTTTTTTTCTAAACATTCACCACTAGCTCCCACTACCTAAAAGCTAAGAATGTCATCAGATAGCAGCTGAAACCTACAGAGTGTCCCTCTCCGGTGTTGCGATAGCTCAATCCTGCCAATGTGTCGGGTGAATGTATCAATTTATGACTTTCTTTTTTTTCCTGTGACTATAAAAGTTCATGTGAATTTATTTCGGGCAAATGAATCTGTGTTTCTGGGTGTGGTGATTGGAGTGAGAATGCCCCCATAGGCTCATATATTTCAATGTTTAGTTCCCAGTTAGTCGACTGTTTAGGAAGGATGAGGAGGTGTGGTCTTGTTGGGGGAAGTGTGTCATGGACTTTGAAGTTTCAAAAGCCTATACCAAGCCCCCCCCTCTCTCTTCCTCTTTCTTGTGGGTCAGATGTAAGCTCTCAGTAACTGCTCGTGTGCCATGCCTACTGCTTGTCCAAGTGCTCCCTGCCATGATGGTCATGGACTCATCTTCTGACATTGTAAATAAGTCCCCAATCAAATGCTTTCTTATATAAGTTGCCTTGGTCATAGTGTCACTTCCTCATACTAGAACATTAACTAAGACCCTGGGTCATGGTCACATTGGTTCAAGAAAACGCTCTCATATTTCTTTTGAGGTGAGAGTTGTGTTTTGTGCAGGCATCTTCTGGATCCTGGCAACTGCTGCTTAATCCTCTCTCTGTAATTTTGTAACTTCCTAAAAGTTAAATACATGAAATCCCGCCATGCTGAGTCTGGTTCCTTTCGCTCACAGTTCTTCCATCAGTGTAGGTCCGTCCTTTGTGTAGGTCCGTCCTTTGTTTCTTCTTGTTGCTGAGCCATGCTCCATGGCATGGGTGCCCCACTGTGTGCTTCAGTCCCTTCACGGTTGGCAATTAAGTTCTTGGCTATTAACAATAAAGCTGATGCAAGCATTCATATATATCTCTTCTCTCCCTCAGCAGCCATTGATTACCTATATCATACAGGGGTGGGCTTTGTGATCTTTTGCCCTTCTGAGTTGGCATGTTGACCATGTGGGCCATTCATTATGCTGGTCTTGTTTAGGCATCTGTGCTGGTGACATTCCATGAGTGTAGAAAGTGTTTTCCATATCAGCCATCTTGATGGCCCTCTCCCTTTTTTGAAAATGGAATTCCTGTTATCCAGATGTTAGTACCCCCTTCTAACTTTCTTATCTCTTAGCTTTTCTTCTTTATCATCCCTCTTTCTTTTTTGGGTCAATTTCTCCTTCTTTCTCAGCCTCCCAAATCACTACCTGGTTCTTCAGTAGCATCCATTCTGCTTTCATTTCTCCCACTATATCCTCACTGCTAATGTGTCTGTTTGGTTCTTCTTCCATGGTCTTGCTTATTATTTCCTCTTTAAAATTTATATATTGGGCTGTTCATAAGTGTGTAGTCCACCTCTTCTAATGCGTCTGCTTTTGATGTACCCTGTGATACAGGTTATTTTCATGGTGGGACAACTGCCCTTCAGATGTCTCATTATTTTGTTTTGTGTGTTCATTCCCTCCTGATTTAACTATGGTTACTCAGGCAACCCATGATGAGGGAGGGGGTCAGCTCGAGTACCCACAGTGAACTTGAGATGCAGTGGGTGAGCCTCAGGGTAGAAAGTCCAGATGCTAGGAATTTCCATTCAATTCATTCTTATTCCATGGTCAGGTCTCCATCCTTTGTTCTCAGAGAGACAAGCAGATTTACAGAGATGCAGTGGTTTTGCATCCCACCTGCTCAGTCACATCACCTGGGATGCTTCTCTGTCCTGAGACCCAGGCCGTGCCCCAGGGCAGGCTTATGGGATTCGGGTAGAATCTAAGCATTCATGCTGTTGGAGCCTTATGGGTGATTTTCATGTGCAGCCATGTTTCAGATGCATCAAGATTCCATCGGGATGCTCCAGCCCTGCAGTTTGAAGAAGTGGTATGGAAATGACTTCTGGAGGTCAGCTGGTCTACCCTGGTTTTCTGAGGACATCTGGCTCAGATGTCTACATTCTGTACATCCTGTCAAATGGGGTGCGGACGTCTGTGTCCCAAGGAGACACGTTGTGAGACAGGGGGAATCAGCAACAGGATTTCTGTTAATTTTTCTGTTTTGTCCTCACAGTGAGGCTGACCTGTGTCCTCCCCCTGAGACCGAGCCACTGATAAAAGCAGCCCCAGCCAACTCAAGAGCCCCTCATAGTTTTCTTCTGTACTTTTCTGGTTCCATGGGGGGGGGTCACTGGGAGTAGGGGTGGGGATCTAGCAGCTGTGCTGGCTTATCATCTTGGCCTGAACTGAACCCATTCTGAGTTTGACCAACAGACTCTAAGTGTCAGCAACCTCTAGGTATTCATAAGAAATACAGAATCCCAGCCTCCACCCTGGGCCTACCGAGTCAGAACCAGCATATGAATGAGACACCCGAGGGCCTCCTGGCACATTCAGGTCTGAGAAGCACAGCTTGGTAGGAATAAATACTGACCAACATTTTAATTAAAGCAGACATCTTTTTGACCAGGTTCTTTGTAGTTTGTTTGGTCAAGTTGTGCCTCTAAAATGTTGATTTTGGTCCTTTAATTTGAGATTTATTCTGCTCCATGCCAGAATTCAACAATGCTGGCTTTGCCTGCTGTAAGGATGGACTCCCTGAAGCTCCCAACCAAAATGACAGATCCATTTAATTTAAGAAAACAGTGCTCAGGTAGCATTATCTGTTAGCACTCATGTTGTAGCTTTATCTTTCCTGATGTGGGTGGTGGATTGAAGTCTGGTGAGGTATGATTCAGAAGGACCAGGAAACTGTGTGACATTGTTAGCTATCATCTCCCTAGTGCCTAGCACAATACATTGTATATAATGGATGATTAAAAAGTGTTAATCAAATAAGAAATGACAGGCAATTGTAGAGAGGCACTTGCTGTTTGTCTTTTAGATGCCGATATAAATGATTATATCTGTGAGGTGTTATTTTGTAAAGGAATATGTATAGTCTCAGGAATAAGTTTCTTCTATCTTTACTTTTTCTTCTCATAAATATTATATACAATAATTTAATGTTTTGGATCTTATAAAAAACCTGAATGTATACTGGCACTTAAGGACAATTTGAATTATTTAATTTTAATTTTTTAAAACAATTTTAAAATTTATTTTGTATACAGTGCTCTACCTGTATTTATGCCTGCATGCCAGAAGAGGGCATCAGACCTCATAACAGATGGTGGTGAGCCACCATGTGGTTGCTGGGAATTGAACTCAGGACCTTTGGACAGCCAGTGCTCTTAACCTCTGAGCCATCTCTCCAGCCCCTACTTTTATTTTGTGGGACAGAGTCTCATTGTGTAACCTCAACTAGCCTGGACTTGCTATGTAGACTAGGCTGGCCTTTAATTCACAGAGATCTGATTGCTGGGGATTAAAGGCCCATGCAACTATGTCCAACTCGTGTGTGTGTGTGTGTGTGTGTGTGTGTGTGTGTGTGTGTATGTGTGTGTGTAGTATATACACATGTTTGTGGTGTGTGCTTATGTGGTTTGGGTGGTATACACACATATGCACATGTCCATGTAAGTGGTAGATGTGTGCGTGC